TTTAATCCGATTATCTTTATTGCGAGTCGCCGTGCCGTGATTCAAATCGCAGATTTTTTGCACGTCCTTTGAATATTGAGTGCTTTTCCTCTGGCAAACTCATTCCCTTTCAGCTACTTTTCTCCATCCTCAGCAATTTATCCAGCTACTTGTGAATTTGTAATGCCCCCGCCTCACCGCGATGAATAGTTGATATGCACTTTTTTTGCACTGCACCTCTTCAAGATGCACATATTTAATTGGAAACGTGCGGTTTTACAAGAGTTTGCAAGTGTGTCCCTCAAGAGTTGCTGCCTCGGTGCGGTCTCTCTAAAGTGGCAGATTTTTACTTTAGACGAAGCGGCGCTCCGAAGATGCACTACTTGCCGGCGAAGCTCATTATACGCGGCGGTCAATCTTGCATGGGGAGGATGTAAAGTTTATGCAAATGCAGGTCAACTGCACTAACTTTGCTGCAGAGTATTAAGACTGCTTTAAACGCTGCCCATCAACCTTAATCATGCAGTCAAGGGAGAGGGAGTGGTGTGGAAAATCGGTGAATTCTAGTAAGCACGGGTTTTCAAGATGTTTGAAAACTGACCATTTGAAGCTGTCAGTTAAAGAATACAGAATAAGTTTTTATTACTTTTAATTACTTATTTCCTTGTGAAACAATAAAACAATTTTGATAATATTTGTACAGTATAAATAATTCTCGTAAAAATCTACGAAAGAAAAACTAAAGCAATGAAAATGGTAAATATTGTTGTGTTTGCATTAACAAAAAAAAAAAAAAAAAACTGCAATTCAGTGATTTTACTGTGTAAATGAGGCATCATTAAAATTTACTATAACAGAAGGAAAAGTTAGCAATATATATGTTACCCATTTATATGAAATGCTTGAATTAGATACTTAAATTTAAATAACCGGGATGATAATTATGGAAACAATTTATGTTTTACACAAAATATTACATTACGATCACCTGGTTAACTCAATTTATATGTGTAATTAAATTTTATTAACTGATTTTTAAATGCAAAAATACGTATGTAAAAAACAAACATAGAAGTGCATTTATTTTGCCTATTTAAGACCACAAAAATGATTATGTATAAATAATTATGGAAATTAAGAATTGACAAAAAAAACTTTTAAATAAATTTACTTCGCAATAAGATATATTATATATTTTTATGAGTGTTAAAAATTGTATGTAATAAAAAAAATTACTGTGAAAACGTTATTTATTTCTGTATTTTCCTTCAGTACATTTTTTATTTTTTAAATACAGCAAATAAATAAAAAAAAATTTTTTAATGAAATTTCTAAATTATAAAGCTGACTGAAATGACTAAGTTGAAAGAAAGAAAAGAAGAACATGATTTTCCTGAAATTAACTTAAATTTCAAGCTCGCGGAGATTACAATTTTTCCCCTACCATGACTGACTCGGAGAGAAATGAATCAAAGTTTTTAAACCAGCAGTGTCAGCACATTAATGAAGAGCCCGGCATGTTCCTCTACTTCTCCCTCTGCGAGGATTTATTATATTTCCTAAGGAACTCCGCTGCTTCGGAGGAAATTGGCCAAAACGAGGTGGTAAATTCGCAGCTTATCGATTCTTCTTTCTGCTGATGAACTCTGCGCGGCTCACATAATGACGGCACATAAATTTTTTCGGCTTAGCAAAAGTTGGACGTGCGCCTGCCTGCCTCCATTGTGCGCATTTCCAGCATGCATTTGCAGCAGGCCTTTCTTCGGTCGTATTCTTTATGGTGGATGATTCCCTTGATGAGATAGATTTAAACTGCCCGCTTTTTATCGGAGGCCGGGAATGAGAGCAGTGAGTGTGAGAGAGCGAACGGCTCGTTTTCGGTCATCTATCACTGCTGCTCTTTCTTCGCCATTCATCTCCAAAAAGTGCTCTTTAATCGATCACAATCGACAGGCAGTTAAGGGCCTGACTAAAAAGGGCCCCGCTTGTTTTTGACCCGGCCTGCGTTTTCGTCGCCTTGCCGGCTCGATATTTACGACAACCGCTCGATAATGAGGATTTAATGTTGCACATCATTTTACACGCTCCACCTCGCTGCCTGTTTTTTTTCCGGAGATATCATTCTGCGGATTTTTATGTCACGTAATGGACAGCCAATGTCGTTATTCGCCGCTCATACATCAACGTGGCTGACACGCTCGCTTTCATCGTGGCGGCACTGCCCGGCCAGCATTATTCTTTCGTCACTGTAAATATGTCCAGTGCAGCCCAACTGCGCGCGAAAGAGTTTAACCGGCCTCTCTTCTGATTGACAAACAAGAGCTGAATATTTATGCATGGCCCGTTTTATTTCAACTAATTATCTAATGAAAGGAGATTTTCCAAATGCTGCGCAAACTAATCACATTGATTGGCTTTGAATTTAATTACATTTGTGTATCACTCAAATATTATAAATGGAGAGAGAGAGAGATTCAGCGATTTCCAAAGCTTAAACAAACTGTTTATTTTCCCTTTTGCGCGTGAAAGCATTGTATAAATCAGCAGTGAAATGCAAATTAATGGTAATGAGCGGATATAAGATGGAATTTCGTATTGTAATAAATGCATTTATCTCCTAATTAACAATAAATTACTTTGAAAGGCAGTAATTTTAGAAAAAATATTAAAATACAAGGAATTCACAGTAAAATATTAGCATAAAAAAAATTGAAAAAAATGGTAAAAAAATTTAATCGGCTATTATTTGCACAACTATAAATCGCAGACCACAATTTTTTTGAGTCCACAAGTTCAGGATAAAAAAAATGATTTCTTCCTTAAATTCTTTTAGCCGAAAAGTTCAGGATTAACAAAATAAAAAATTGAGGCCTTCATAAGAAATTATTTGAAATGTTTTATTTCTTTTAGTCCTGCAATTGCTTAAAAGTAAAGTAGAGTAAGGATTTATTTTGTAGGTTAAATTTTGTATTCTTTAAGGCGAGAATTTCCAAAACTAATTATCGCAGTCCATAGGTTAAGGATAAAAAATTGAGGTCTTCGCAAAAAAATATTTGATTTTACGCTTATTCCTATAAATAGCCAGAAATAAAACAAGAGCTTTTTATTTTTCAAATTATAAATATAACTTGTGAATTAGCACCTCTTTGTTAAAAATTACTTTTTAGGTTTTTAGTCACAAAATTAATTTATTCTCACTCAATCTGCAACTATTTTTTATATCTTGCTAAATTTGAGTTTAGCAAAAATCTCTGTTTATATTTCACCGGAACTCATTTACATGACCTTCCTTCCAGATAGTTCCCTCAAAGACAAAGTTACACAGTTTGTAGCCTAGGCAGTTTTATCGACTAGCTCAAGGCGGGCTTCTTGGAGGCGAATCCATTCTTGTCAAAATTTAAGTGAAGTGTCAGAGCCGCAGGACCTGTGTTGATGAAACTTTGATGCATTTGGGTGCGAGGAGAGAAACAGGAAGGATCTCATCAAGCCGACGACCCTGCGAGGAACAGGTTCAATTGGTGCCGGCTTAGAACGCGTTTGATGTGTAGAGCTTTGTTGGCCGCTGCTCGCAGTATAGGCAACACAAATCATCAGACCGAGCGGCAGCAATTCCGTCCCCTGGGGCTGAGCAGTCAAGGGAATGTGCGGCCCGCAATTGGAACGAGAGTAGCGTGTCGGTCCGAGAAATGCAGAATGCACCACGAGCCAACTTTTACGACTCCGGCGAGAATAAACACAAGAGGCGCGCTTCGGTTATTTTCCGTCTCGGACACTCGCCCATGTAAATCAGAATCGTCTTTTTTTTCCATCTCTCCCCGGGAATTAAATTTTCACCAGCCTCCTTTTGTTTGCTCTCTCCCCATGTGCAGAAATTGCCCGTAATTATACAAACGCGTCAAAAGTTTCTGCCTAGTTTGATCAAAATTTACATGAGTGGATATATGAATATTTTCCTCCTTACTTGAAACGCCGCTGCTGCTCCTCAGATAATCTTTTCTTAATTAGAAAAAACACAATTAAACATATTATACATAGTTATAAATAATTAATTTTTCTATGAAAATATATTTTAATACTAATTGTAGCAAAATAAAAAGTTAATTTTGTTAATTTATTTGAAATATTTTTTACTTTTAAGTTATTAGTGTTCTTTAAATGTTTAAATAGTATATAAGAAAATTTTCAATCTCACGGAATATAAAAAATTTTATATTGATTAATACGAAAGTATAGCATATTTACAATAGAAGATTAATAAAATTCCTTTTTTCGGGGTGACTACTTGATAAATATATAGAATTTGAAAAAGATGCAGTGGAAACTAAACTCATTATGTAATAATTATTATAAAACTCATGTGAAACCTAGTCTGAATGAATGATGAGGGGAAATATAAAAGTTAACTTAATCAACTCTTAATAGGCTGTTAGGTTTACATAATAATTAGTTTTGAAAAAATGCTCTACACTGAAATGTATGTGTAAGATGTGTAATTTGAGGCATGAATATTTCAATCTCTTTAATTTTTAAATTGAAATTTGCAATTAAACAAAGTCTGCTTTTTCTAGGAAAAATATTTACTATTCAAAATCGTAATTGTAACACAATATCTCAATAATTATTAAAATGGTACATCTTACGTTATGATGATAAATTTTTAAAAATATTAGTTTGACAAAAATTATTTGCCAAATTGCCAAGCATGGAATATATCATGGCTTTTTTTTTTAATTTTCCACTTACACAAAAAAAATACACTGCAAATAAAAACCAATTCTAGCTGATTTTTCATGGCTGCTCATCATGCTAGGCCCATTATTGAAAAACGGACTGGAATCAATTTGAAGTGTGACCATTTGCATTTAAATGAAGGGCTCCAACTGCGATTGGTCGTCCAACGAAGCGGTATTTCATTTGATTACTGCGCCAATTTGTCAATTCCAACTGGCCCAGCGCTAAACAATGAGGGGTGGCGGGTTTCGCATGAAATAAAATTAGCCGAGCAATTCCAGATTAAAAATATTAAGTTTTTATTGCTTGTCATGAGCTAATGTGAGTATAATAATAAATCCAAACACAATCATGGTAATCGGAATGCTCTGGATAAACAGCGTAATCAAACGAGACTAGCAATTTGCTGGCGTAGCAGGAGTAAATCAACGTGTTGTGAGAATATATGTCACATTATGTGTCTAAACACAGTGTCATGCAGCAATATAATTATCCAAGTCAGCTTATCAGCGCTCAGTCGGCGCCCGCAAATCAAAACAGCACGATTTCAGCGGCGACACATTATCAAATACAATGATCGCAAAATGGAGCGCGAATCGCGCTCCACACAAAAACATGCAATAATTTTCCACAGAAAGAAACAAGAAGTCTTTCGCAGTTTTGCAACTAACGACCAAGCATCTGCCAAATAATTTTTTTTACATTTTACAACAAATGAGTGAATGAATCTCGCGGAAAAACGCGCTCTCGCCATGATGCAGCGGTAAATAATGCTATGCAATCTACAAGTAGCGATACAAAATATTTCGTCATGTTCATTTTCATGTCAAAAGGTAAAATTTATTTTCCACTATACATGTCTGCGGTGGTTGTATATAAGTGTGAGAATGTGTTTGTGTATTTTATGTTCTTCCGTGGAATAAGTGTAATGTATTTTAATGTGTGTGTATGTGTTTTAATTTTCTTCTTTTTCAAATTTTTGAATAATCATAATAATAGTTGTTAATGACGAACGCTATTACTCGTGACTACATAGAATCTCCATATTAGTAATTCATGAATGAGTATTGCAAATAGTACATAATCCATCGTAATAAGTCTATACATCATGTTTTACATTGTAATGTTTATAAGTACAGCATAATTATCCGTCTCTCATCAGCTTGTCAAGTATGCACTCCCTAATTCTCGCTTAAGTTACTTAATTAATTCGTCCTACAGGTTTTACAATATAGAAGCCGATTTTAATTTGGTGCCCGAGTCAGTTTTTTAATTTTAAACTTTGAATACATTTTCTCGCAATATAATGACGCGATCTCTTTCTTTCGTAAACCACTTAATCCACGTACAGCGAAAATTGAATTTTATGTATTCGTTACACATCGTACACGACATAAAAGTCACAAAATATAGACACGTGTTTCTTAATCTCTCGCATTTTGGTTTCTTCAAAAATGTCTCGCTTGTTTATTGCACGCTTTTCCCAACCTGGATATATACGGATCGATTGACATATCTACAGAGTGTAATGCAATTTTTATTTTGCCCGTCGGTTTCTTTTCTTCTTCACCCTTTAAAGTACGATACACAGTAATCTCGTTGCAATTTTTATACAGCACATCAGTTTTCGCGATAAATAATTACGTAACAAACATTGCTTGTATACTTCTAGCCTCTGAAACATCAAAAATTCAATTTTAATTATTGCTTTCTTTTTATAATACACTTCAATTTCTTCATTGTTCTTCTCTGGAGGAAGTTTGTTTGTTTGTTTGTATGTTCAGTTTTTTATTGACTCTGCAATTCGGAAACTCTTGAAACTGTCCGCGTCTTTAAGTCGCTCTGATTTTATATATACTTTTTTTATAGCCTTTTGCGTACATAAGATGTGACGAAAATGGAGGACTGCTGTCGTTATTTGACCTCTGGCACCTGACTAGAATTTTCTTCTGCATAAACGCTGGCTGGAATTTATATGCATATATACAGGCGGCGGCTCATGCATGAGGCGCTTATCAGTCAGGTGACGTGACACATTTCACAAAGGGAGGGAACTCGAGTGTTTCATTTTTAGCCGAGAGAAAAGAAGCAGGCTCGAGAGAAGCACGCACTGGAATAAAAAAGCAGCCAGGAAAGAAATAAAGTAAGGGAGTGCGTGTGACACGCGTGCGTTCGTTCGTTCGTCTGACTGATTGACGCCCGAATAGCCCATTTAATTGACTGGCCCGCCAAATCAATCAGAAGGCAAACGTTGGAGGAAAAACCGGTTCATATCGATCCGGAGGCGTGGAATAATTAAAAGGAAAAGAAGAGAGGAGGTCGGCGTTGAAAAATTTACAGGCCTTTAAAACGACAGGCCCAAATCAGAGAGAGCCGGAATGGCAGGGCGTGGAAAAAACAACTAAAAACAACAACTAAGGCTGCGAGGGTTTCCCCGGGGAGTATTAAACCGGAATATCTCGGGCACAAAGTTCATAAGTGTGAGCCTCCTCTTCCCTTTTTCGGTGACCCGATTTATAATTCACGTCTCTCGCGGTCGAGATAGAGAGAGGAGGAAATTGACGACAAACGAAATCCGGGATGAATACCAAATCCGAGCGAGGAGAAATCTTCTGGGACCGCTGGAAATATTCATCCCGCATTCCGAGAAAACTAATTTATGGATGGCCCCCATCGGCGTCATAAGATGAGGCCCGTGGGACGGTGGCAGATACGAAGACCCACCTTCCTTCCAGAGATAATTTTCGCCTGGAATAATAATGGGGGAGAAAGTGAGCGATGTGTCATAATCGAACTGTTCAGCGGGGATTAATCCCGCAGCCGCCGCCTTTCCAGCCGCGTTGAGAATGTGAAATTTTTTAATTGCACCTGTTGCTGGTCAATTAATGACGTCAGTCGTCCTTTAACTCATACATGAAAATTTTGACAAGCTAGTAAATTATATAATAAATTAAATAATTCATAAATAAATCACATTCGACTAGAGATCAGAAAATTCGTTCACATGCTTTTTGTTCAATTAAATTTACACAATTTTTGTTTTGATGAGTTTTTTTTCTTTTTACAATTTTGAGAACTATGCTGTTTTCAAGAAGTACATTGGTGTCTGTTTTTTACGCTATAAAACTGTTTGTTTGTATCAGCCAAAGGTATTGTTTTGTGTTGGTTATTATTTTGCAAGTTGTGTACAAAATTAGATTACAACACTTCTTCTTAAACTTTTGGTTATATTCCCTAGATGCGTTTTGTTCGTTTGGTTCTCGAGTCGCGAAGTGTTTAGCCCCGGATGGCGTCAATGATCTCGCAAAAAGTATAATTTAATCATAAATATGTGACTAGGGTTTCAGCACTTAGGCTAGGACGGTGGAGGCTGTGCGATAATACGTGCACGGCTCCATTATCCCGTATCACTGTGTTCTAATCGAATTGTCTGAGTGCTCGCGAGTCCAGCGAGCGTGACAATTAGAGTAAAACATGCTTCGTTGCTTCAACATTTTTCTCCTTACTATAACTCGTTTACGATCGAAATGAAGGGAATTTTGTGTAGTGATGTGTATTGCTGAAGTTTTGGTTTTTCGTTTTCATACCCGGGTTTTTGTGAAATTCCTATATTTATTTTTATTCTATATATTTCTATATAATAAATATGGTGTGAAGTTAAAAAATTCCTTCAGTCAATCAAGGGGGAATTCATTAGCGTATCAGCTGTGTGTAAGTGTTGAAATATCTCGATCGATTGCTTTTTCGATTTTTTGTTCCGTATGCTTTCTAATTTTTAAATTGATAAGGGGATAATTTATGTATTAACCGTATTGTTGCGTTTCGATATAAATACGAATCTCAAATTTTTGTCTGCAGTATTGCTTCAGGGTGTGTAATTATTTTGTATTTCATGAGCTCGATTCTGGTTTCGTGGATATGGTTATATATGCTAGGGTCGTTAAATTCAATGAGAGTTTTAAATTTTTGTTTTGGTACCACCGTGTTCGTTGTATTGAATTCGTCAAATTTTGTTGATAGGGGTTGAAAAACTAATAGAATAATTCTCATTTATCGAAATTTTTAGTGCGAGTTCGCTCTGCGGGAGCCCGACGGGTAGCTTGAAATGGGCGGCTGATTGCATGTCTCACCCTCCAGTTTGCAAATCGACGCGTGTGCTAAGTGCTCAGCATGATGTTGGCACTAATGCACGGATAATTGCTTCGAATTGCATCAATTTGTTCGACTGCAATTATACACTACACGTGCAACATCAGCCACCCACTTCAAGCCGGCGGGTACTGAAATTTATTATTATTTCCTCCTTCACGAAGTTTAATAGTGGAAGTGGAGAAGAAGAACAAGTTAGTCGCACCTGACTGTATAATGCAAGCAATGCAGGGAGGAATTCTTCGCTTCTCACAGAAAAAATTTAGATACGCATCGTGTTTACTTTTGCGATACTTCAGCTATACTTTTGCTATTCACTTGCTTTACTTTTTAAAAACTGTATACCTGTTTAACACAGGCCTTATGAGGGAGGGTTTTTATACCTGCTCGTCAAACTATTGTGTTTTGTAAAGAAAGGAGGGGGAGGGATGCGGACGCATGTATTTTAGAGCGCGGCCGGCAAGGGTCGCGCAGCAGGCGAGCTGTCAAAAGAATACCTAGTGAAGCACAGATGTATGCGTGGGTGACCGAAAAAAAGGTGTTTTTAAGCGCAAGACGTGATGAAGAGCAAGTGAATACTAGAAGTATCGCAACTGAATACTAAATGTAGACCAAACCGATTTCTGTGAGTTTAATATTATTCCGCTCATAAAGTCGCAAGCATGCAGAAGGATGCTGTTTTTATCCGTACGTGAAGAGTTTATGAGAGAGAAAATAGTAGTCGCACCCACACCTGATTTACCCCTTGCGATATTTATATTCTCAATTCGCGGCAGTGTTGCTATTAAGTAAGTGTCACAAAAACCGGCATTAATTCGATTTAAAGACCCTCCACAATAAATTTTTTGAATTCTTGAGTTTGAATGTAGGAAAGATTAAATTGCAATAGCGATCAATAAATTAATAATTATTTGATATTCATTGCAAATTTTTCTCTACAATTAAATTCAAGAATAGAAATAATTACTGCAGAAGCTCTTTAAAGGAAGATAATTTTCCCGTCCATTAGTGAAGCAATTATTGAAGAAATTGAAAGGGACCTGAGTGATATAGAAGGGAGAGACAGTTAGAGAGAGAATGGATGAGTGTCGCGCCAGGAGAAAATCTAATTTACATAAAGAATTAAAGTGTGTGAGAGAGGAAGAAGAAGTTATGAAATAGAGGCATGTTCGCAGTTAGTATTTTCTCTAATATTTTTATCCTTTGGCTTTCACGCTTTCTAAAGTCTCCTCACAGATTGGCAGTCCATAGTCAGCACCCCAGCGCGACGAATTATACTTGACGTAGTTAAATATATATATTTATAAGTACGATTTTTTTTTAGAAAGAGTAGTCGAAAAGACGAAAGAACGGCAGAAACTTGCACGCTTCGCTATATCTCGTGTTTCCTAAAATACACACCTGCCCCCTAATCTCTACCGACTAGATAAATACAAAATTAGTTGTTCATCTGCTGTTATTACAGTGGCTAATTACTTTTTGAGCATTATATTTATAACCTTTCTTTCTTCAAGAGACGTTCATAGTGTAAGATAGAGAGTCGCTTTTGTTACTACTACACACGTGGCCGGTGATTAGTCCATGACGTCGTCACTGCCGTCCATGGAGTTGGCGTCCGAACCGCAGGGACTCTCGCCTTCCTTGAAGCAGGCCGACTCGTAGTGCTTGTTCAGGTAGGACTTGAGGGCGAACGACTTATCACATCGCTTGCAGCGGAAGTTCTTGGCCGCCGAGTGCGTCTGCATGTGGGCCCTGAGGTTGGACCGGTCTGCGAAGGCCTTGCCGCACTGCACGCACACGTACGGCTTCTCGCCGGTGTGCGACCTGAGGTGACCTTGGAGCAGCCAGGGTCGCGAGAAGGCCTTGCCGCACACGTTGCACTTGTGGCTGAGGTTGTGGGTGAGGATGTGCATGGCCAGGGCGGGCATGCTGACGTACGCCTTGCCGCAGGTCGGGCACTTTTTGGCCGACTGCGAGTCCAGACTCCGGTGCGTCTGTTTGTGTCTGGACAGGTTGGACGACGTTGCGTACTGCTTGCCGCACTCCGGACACGTGTACCGCGTCTTACCTGACGAGTTTCCCGGCGAGCTGGGCGGCAGTTCGCCGTCCTCGTCCTCAACCTCCTCGGAAGCCTCGGTGCTCGTCATGGTGGACACGCTGGCGATGCTTTTGCGTTTCGAGCGGCCGTCTGACATGATGACGCCCTCGTACGGGTACGTCGACGTTGACTTGTGCTCCATCTGCAGGTTCGGGCTGTTGTTCTCGGCGTCCGACGAGTACTCGGACGTGGGCGGCGTCAATGGTGGTCCTCCGTGGTGTCTGCTCGGCTCGGCCGGTTCCCGGTAACAAGGCGTTTCCATGTTCTCGTGCAGCATCGGCTCGTGGTGACCCTGTCAACAATAAATTATTTCCTGGTGAAATTCTAAAAATAATTTTAATGTTGGTTGATTTATTTTTTTAGAGTTAAAAAGACGCTCATTTCTAATTTATTCCAAGAAAAATAAACATAAATAATTATGGCTCATTGAAAAAGACAATTAAAAGTTAAATAAGATCATAATACATATATAAATAATTTAGAAAATAAAAATCTAACCCATAATTTTACAAATAATAATGATGCAATTTTTTTAATTTTCTGTCTCTTATGTTTTGATCTTTCGCATAGATTTAGAAGTAAATAAAATCGATAAAAAATTTATGCAGCTATTTATTTTGAACCCAAGTAACAAACTGTTTGGATTCAGATAGGCAACCTGCTGCTCTCAACGAGCGAGCGGGTTGCTTGCATCTTTAAATTGACGATTGAATCGATTTGTATCTTAACCTAGCAATATTGATACTTTACAGAATAATATTATGTTACCCTGTTTGATATCACGACAACGTTTTATCAAAAAAGGCAATATCAAATTGGTACTGATTGCCAATATGTTGATATTTTAGCGATGTTAGCATCGGTGATGATTATTTTCTTAATACTATTTTAAAAGCTCTGGAATATATACTTCACATTATGATGCCAATTGAATCTGAAATTATTAATCACATAATAAAAACGAATCTTGGTAAAAACAGATAAGTTACTTTGAAATTGTGATATTATATATGCACCCGAACAAATTTAATCAATATTTATTAATAAATACAGAAAACCAATGTTATTTTATTACATTTTAGAAGTAATCGTCTAAATTAAAAAAAAATCTCTATACAATAATTAAATCTTAAAATTGAAGTAAAGTAATACATAAAAAGAAATTAAATTATAATATAAAGTATAATTTTTTAACATACAATTTTATCTGAAGAAGAATTAATATTATAAAATATTTCTGTAAACTTATTTATTAATTATTTATTTGTGAACCATTTTAGATTATGCAAACTAACTGTATCCAATCCAAACAAATGTTTTTTATTAATTACCCCCAGTAACCCCTAACAATAAGTTCACCCAATTTCTGGACATTTTTTCTAAAAAAAAAAAAAATTAAAAAAAAAACTTACGTCTAAATGTTGTTGTTGCGAATCATCGTTGCTCTCCACTTGGTGCTCGTGTATGGAACTAAGGGGCACAGCGGACACTTGTCCCGGAGGTGGCAGCGGCGGTAGCGACCTGGACAGTTCGAGCAGGTCGTGCGCCACCTCGGTCTCCTCGGCGCTGCGCATCCTGAAAATAGGGATGCCACCGTCATGCCCGAGGATCTCCTCGTTGCTCGACGAGTTTGCGGGCCGATCATGCTGCGAAATGTTGTTGGGGATGAACTCGTGAATGTTGTAGTTATCTGCAAACAAAAGCAAAGCGAAACGCTTATTAGCCGAACGAGTGAACCCGTGCACAAATACACACACACGCACGCAATGGCCGGAAAGAGCAGAGCGACGAGTGCAAAATAAATCACAAAAGTGTGATTTTTGGCCATTCAAATGCAAACGTTAATGGCTGCGCCGAGCACAAAAACAAGTCGTAAATCTCGCACGCTGCCAAGTTCTCTTGCTCTCATTGTGCGCCAGCGAGCCCTGCCAGCGGCGGATAAACAATTCCGCCCCAATTTCATGCGAAAGAAGATTCGCGGGGCGCTTAATTTATGGTGCACAACACACTTGCTGCTCGCCCGCGCCGCCGCCGCGTGATTTATGAAAGTAAAAGCGTTCGGCCGGCGCGTGCCTCGTCGGTGTGCGCTGCATAATTATTTTCTTGTCAGCATTAATTTTTTATTTCACTCCCCGGCCTCTGACGTTTTCATCTCTGTGCACTAGATTTGAATATTGAATGATTATAATTACAGGCACGATTCTAATTTTTTTTTTTAAATATAGTGTGGGTTAATCGCGGCAGCCGTTTCCTTTTTTGATGATAGGCGTTTCAGCAGACCTCTGCTAAATGTGAAACCCTTTCTGCTAATTTCTTTCTATAGCAATCCTTTTTTTATTGAATTGATTAGAGTAAACGTTAAAAATTAATTCTCTAATAAATACTCATAATTTTCATAATTTTTTTCTGTAGATTGTAAGATGTGCAATTTTTTTTAATACCATTACAATAAATCAATACTATACTATTGATTTTTAATCTCATTCCAAATTATTGACGGTGAATATTAAACAGTTAAAAATTAATTTACATTTGTCATTTATTATTATTTTTTTATGTAAAAATTATTAAATGTTTAAAAAAATCTAATGGCTTTAATAATAGTAACGTTTACAGCGGAAATTTAATTTTTAAAATCAATAATATCTTTTTCTATTGTTCTGTAAAATTTTTAAATTTCTAAAGCATTAGTTTATTGATTAAAATAGCTGAAAAACAATTCTTTTAAATTTCCTTACAGTTCTAGTTTTGTACGGTCTGTACCTCTTAAAAAAGGGGTCTTTCAAGATAAAAAATTGGCGATATAACTGAAAATAACAGAAAATATAAAAGTTTATGCCGCTGCCGTGATACATAATTTTTAAGCTCCCCGAGGCTGTAATTTGCTTATGCCATGATGAATATTAAAAAAGTGCTCGGGCCAAATAAATAGCCTTCCTTCTGCGTGATTCAAATAAAAAACCGAGAGCCGAAAATCGATAGAGAGCCGCGGGGGCGAGAGCGAGCGAGCGAGTTCTTTGAATCTGGTGTGCAGCAGCGACCGGATTTCCACCCGCCGAGTGCACGGCGTTATTTCTTTTGCTCTTTTATACACACAGCTCGCGTGCATTTGGAAATTGTTTCAAGAGGAACAATAAAAGACGAAGCAGAAAGTAGTGCTGGATCTCCAGCAGCGCACATTTCTGGTGTGTTATGCCACTTGAGAGAGTGTACGGGTCTAATGGGCGAAGAAGCAAAAAGCTAGAAGATGGCTGAAAGCAGAGCAATGACTTAGGGCCGTAATGGAAACACACATCGAAAGAAGAAGCTTCTTCTTCTTCTAACACGTTATACGCATTAAGCCCAATTGTGAAAGCTCCCATACGTTGCAGCACCGGCAAGAAATTTGATTTTCTCCATGTATGGGGCTGGGAATGTACTTTGTTCTTTTATTTCTTTTAACAACAGTTGATTGTCGATTTTAAAATATTGAATTAATTGCAAATTTTTAATTTCATCTAGACAATAGTATGATTTTTCTATTCATTGCTATCAAATAAATATAATGTAAAAGCAAATCCACGGAAAATTTCAAAAACTGCATTTTTTGCAAGTGTTGTTTGTAAAATAGGCTGAATTTATTTGAAAAAATAATGATATTAATTTTTTTGTTCTTAATTTCCAAAAATATTAAGCTTCATTAATTCAAAAATTGAATGAAACTGGGCTGATTTTTGTTTTCATTGAATATTTCATACTTAAAAAATTAAAAAATTTGAAGATATTGAAAAAAAAATTATAATGTTTTATTTCCAATGGAAATGAACATAAACATTTTGCATCCTTTGGGCTAAATTTAGTATTTAGTTTTATGAGGTCTGAGATGGTAAAATCTTGTATACACAAAAGGGGAAATCGATTTTGTCCCACGCCGTTACTTTTTTTCTCCCGAAAATTGTCTTCTCCGAATTTTCATTTTGCATCGCTTTTTATTTGCCAAATAATTACGCCCCATACACTTGCAGACATCAAAAGCGAAAGTTTCAACAATAACTCTCGGAGAGAGTTGCAGGCGACGGCAATTTGCCTTCAAAGAGAGAGAGCTGCTGATTGTTGTTTATCAGAATAGAGCAAAAGCCCGACGGATGACGAGCAGGCGTTTGAGCGTGTGATGTGACGTACTGCTCTCTGTGTGTTGTCTTTTGCACCATATACACGCTTCAATTGCCTTCAGGGCCGATAATTTATGACTTTGCAGCATGCCAAAGCAAAAATGGCCTTTAAAAATGAACATGGAACAATAAAAAAGCGAGCGCCGCTTGGCTGCCGGCAGAAAGCGGCTTTTATCGCGAGTGCGAACGTTTTTGATCGCCAACTGCACCGGAGGGACTGTGCAAAATTTGGCAGGAAATATATGATACAACGTCACTCGTCCCCCCTGCTTTTGATCTATTTCATAAAAAATTTTAATGAATGCCGCTTAAAGCGAAATAAAATCTGCAAATTTATCACTATTATGAAAATGCCTTGTACAAAAAAAGTTGCATTTCAAAAAGGTGATCACAATAAAAATTATTTAACTTGCAAATAAAGTATTTCTATGTGTGAGGAAATTTCATGTTACATCACTCATCACTTAAAACCTGAAAAATAATTTTACTTTTACTAAACATTTATCTTTCATCTAAGTATGTAATCGTTTTAAAGAAAAACTATTACATTATAAAATTGTTTTACGTTTTAACCATTTAATATAATATTTAACTAGTTTTTTTCTAAAATAAAATAATTTTTTTTACACATTCTGTTCATAATGCTTCGTTAGTAATTATTTTGTTTGCAGCCAATTTAAGTTCATAATTCATCATTCATACATGCATTTCCTAAATTTGTTGTTAGTACATAATTCAGTTGTAGAACCTTGGATACATTTTGGCCTTTCTTATTTTTCACATACATGCATTATATATTTTATAACTCATAATAATGATTAATTATCTAGATTGGTGATGTAAGAAATAAAATTCATGTTAATTATGCATACCTCACACGAACGCATGTGGTATTTACGCTGATAGAATATAATATGTATATTAACTCATTAACTCGTAAATACATCAGTTTTTATATAATTTTTTTTTAATACTTTTTATGCCTTTTAACTGTATGCAAAATTCGCAAAAATTCTTTGTTCTATTGCAAATGTATGATTATTTATTACGACTCCTTGAGTATTTAGCCAGCCGTGTAAGTGTCAGATGGATAATTTGTTGGAAAGCAGTTAGATTGGCTAAATGAATAAACACGGGAGAGCAAGCAGCGCGGTGACACGCGGCTGTCGTCCGTATATATTAATCATTTGGTGCGGCGGGCCTCTGCGCTCGCTTTTTTCTTTTTTATTGTGTTTTTGTTTGCGTCATCATCTGTGTGCGACGAGAGGAGCGCAGAGCCTGCTGGTGTGCATCGATTGCCAGTCGTCGTCATCATCATCAGTTTTGTCTTGGACTGATCGATAGGACGCGGCGCGGCGCCACCCCAGGAGACAAAAACATGTTGTCCTCTTGCAAAATAAAAGAGAACGAAAGATGAAACTTGGCTTATGTATAACTGGCTTCGAACTTTCTCTTTATTCGCAAAACCCACGCGAGTCATTTTTCAATTTTTGCAGCGAATTTCTCATGGCGTGTTTCATAAAAAATCTGCTTCTTTTTCCCACGAAAGACGATTTTTCATTCACGAGAGAGAGGAGCCGGCGAATAAAAAGCGCCTGAGAGTTTTCGTGCGAGGGGTAATGTGTGCTTTGGGCGCGCTGCCTCGGGGCGCACTCTCGACGGCGCAAAATCGATAAGTTTCAACGCCTTCCGCCTAACTTATTGTGATGTAATTAACACTAATGGAAGGGTTCAAGTACCAAAAAGCATGTAATTATGATTTTAGTCGCGCCGGCCCGCCTTCTCACTCTGCTCGCTGCTGAGGAAAGGGAGAGAAAGTTTTCAATCTCAACAGGTTGTCTATATACACATGCAGGCGTCTGTAAGGAGAAGGAGCTTTTCCCTTCGGCACTCGGTACACAAAACAACGAAATTTGCATGTTCGCTCGCTATTAATTAGAAGTCTGGTTTTTCCAGACGTCCTACTAAGCAATCAATCAAACAAACAAAGTCAATGCGACGAAAATGACCAAATTACGCTGTTTGTGTAGCATAAACATGTAATTAAATTATGAAAATGAAATACGAAATAGAATTTAAAGTTTAGAGTATATAAAATAAATTCATTATCATATTCATTTTAAAATCACGTTCTATGTTCTTTTCTGTTTTTATTTAATATTCATTAATATACTTAATCGATTTTTTTCTTAAACTTCTCTTTATATTTCTCCAATATGTTTTATTGCATTATAAAATTCGTTTTAATAGCACAATGAATCCACAGAATATCTCAATTTATATTGAGCTGCAGAATGATTTTTATTAAATCTGTAGTGCCGATAACAATGTAAGACACAAAAAAATTGAAATTTAAACTATGATCAATTCCACTAATGATTATGAAATAAGCCTTTGCTATTGTTTTAAATATTAAATTTAAAATATCTCCAAATGCCATTGCCACACGCTTTTAAATTTGGTAATTCAGTTGAAAATTTGATCTATTGATGTGCTTTACCTTAAGTTTGAAGGAAAATAAAAGAAAAATTTCGCATTC